ATCTCTAATTTATTCTAAAATCTTAACAACCAGCATTGTTATTTTTAAACACGTTCTATAGTTGATCTCCATTTATACATTTCTCAGTTGTACATTTTTGTCAATTATATGTTAAAAAGTTTCTATGCTGCTTTCTCCATTATAAAACACTTCAGTTATACATTTTTGTTTATACAATTTTTTCCTTATGTGTCATATTTTTTGGTATTCTGCAGCACTTTTTTCTCATTTTTATGCTATTCACTTTGAAATGGAAAAAAATTTAAACTGATTATTTAAAAAAAGTGAATTATTCACTTAAATTAAGGTTAGTCCACACAGACAATAAATCACCAGCAAATGCAAAAAGTAGGATGAAAAATATGCAAAGCTGTATTTAAGTTCTTGCAACTAGCAACTAGCATGCAGCAAAATGATGTCAATTTAACATGGTGCCCACACTACAAGTGTGTTTTCAAAGTTCAACTGCAAGTCAACATTAAGTAAAAATGGATGTGTAATTTAATGTATTAATTTGTTTCCATAATTACCTTATACACTATAGTTTATAATATCTACCATTTTTCAATTTTACAGATTTGTTAGTTATATATTATTGTCTTTAATCAGGTCAAACAATCATTGTTAACAAAATGAAATTCTCCCACTGTATCAATGACTTAGTTCAACACATGCAACAGCTTTCAGTTGCAGTGAGTATGTGAGTCTGTTGAGCTTGGCATTAGTTGATATAATGAGACGAGAACATTTTGTTGAACTCGTTTTGTCATCACTGATTTTTAAGTTGACCTTTGGAACGCACCCTGCACAAAACTTTATGTAGCATGATGTGACATCATTTTGTTGCACACTAGGCACTTTGTAAGAACTTAAATTCAGCTTAACATATGATGCTGTTTTTAATGAATTTTCCTCTTTTGGAAATTGCTCAGCCAGACCAACATTTTCACATTGGAAATTTTCAATTCCACATTTTATAGCATGAACCAATATTCCTAAGCAAATAAAAAATTAGTTTCTGATTTTTCATTCATTTTCATTATTCATTCTCAGTGTGTGCTAACCTTTAGAATGATACTTCATTCTTTCCCATGACTGGTGTTTTAGCAGGAGACAATTGATGTCACATACTTGTACAAACAAAACTTGATCAATATTTTCAAAATACTTACTTAATTTTAGACTGAATTTACTTTTTTTATATGTTGTTCAAGTATATTATATGTGTAGTAAATTGTAACTTTTTGTTAAGAATTACATGTACAAATTCAGGTGTAGTTAATTTGTGTCATGCTGTACTTTTGTGATGACTATATTCACTCTTAAGCAAATACACCTACAACCACTGAAAACGATCGGGCTAAATTTTGGATATATGATTATAGATTGATTATATATCCAAGTTTAGCCCGATCATTTACGGCAATTGTAGTATATTTGCTTAAGATATCGGGTTTCGATTGATGTGTATATTTATATATTCACTTTGAAAGTAATTCAAAAGCAGTTTCACTTTTACATTTTTCTCAGTTTCCTTGAAAAATGTATAAATGGGATTTGACTGTATTTTATTAACTCTGTTCCATATTTAATTTACATGCATGCAGATGGTAATTAAAAATACTAAGTATGCTCTTCTGTAACTAGTAAAGTCACATTTAATCAACATTGCAGATTTTTTACTGTTCCACAGTTAGTTACTAAAATTTAAATACAGAACATAAAATCATAAATAACTTTGAGAAAAATTATCTACTTACATAATATACATAGATAAATCCCAAGCTTGATTTCATTATACTGTACTTTTTAAACTTTATATTGTAATGACTTTGATGTGAATCCTTCTAGAGTTTCATAGTTAAACAATTACTACTAATTAAATAACTACTAAATAAAAATCAATAATCTTTACTTTTCAGAATTCTTGCACCTTGTGGGAATCCAACAAGGATCAGTTTTAAGTAGCTTATAGTGTATATTAATAATAATTTAGATCAACCTATACTTCATCAACTATTGCATATGCTAATGATACTAAAATTATAAACATAACTCATATATATTGAAATATGATTTAGATAGATTGTCTTCTGAATTGCAATATGTAAACTCATCATTAACCTGAACAAGCCTGTAACCATGTTTTTTGCTCTGATGAGATCTCAACCTGATATTATATTTAAGATCTGTAATCATGATCTTAATAGCATCAGTGATTTAGGAGTTATTTTCAATAGCAAACATACTTTTAAACAACATATTGACAATATTATAAAAACTCTAAAAACCTATAACCCATCAAATTTTTTATAATACTTGCAAATGTTTTCGTCCATCTCGAATGAGCATCTTCAAGCAAACAAATCCCCAGCTGCTGAAACAACATGGGATTGTTTCAGCAGCTGGGATTGCCAAACATGTGCAGAGGGGAGGTGACAAGAGAAGGGGGAAGGATAGTGATAGTTATAGTTCAAAGAAAGACTTTCATCCTGTGGGGACAGAGTCAATGTCACAAAAATTAACAGCAATGTTATTGCAGGTAGCTTTACATATTTCCATCTGCTCAAGATGTTTGAGAAAGGGTTGTCTGGAAGAGCTATGTAAGAGGCATTCACTGCCAAATTCCACTTTGATGTCAGGGTCGGAGGTGTAGATAACCAACATAGTGTTGGCCAATTCTTTCATGATGAAGTCTGATGTTCCTCAAGGTAAGAATTCCTGCAAAAAATCAACAACAACCTTTATGGCTGTTTGGCTCTGCTTTGAACAAGACAACTATCAAACTGTTTATTTCTTGGACCTCCAGCTTTTTTCATCCAAAAGATGCATAACTATTCAGGTTTATAGAAAACCTACACACCAGCCAACCTTCATCCCTGCCTCTTCCCATGATCTGTTTACCTTCAAGATGGCCAGGTTCAGGACGTTGTTTCATAAGGTCTTCACCCATTTGTTGGACACATATGATAGAGATACAAAGCTCCTAATGATCGTCTGGTATGCAACTCAGCATGGCTATTCCCCACAGACTATTAAAGGCCTTATATGTTGCCTCGCCAAAAAATCGCACCAAGGACACAGTTTATAGGACTGTCACTTATGACAGGAAGCTAGCCTTCCGTAGAAGTCCTTTGATTATATTCCCTCTTCTTCCATGCTAAAGATTGTCCAGACATGCACCTCCAACCAGGCATCTACACCATTCCCATCAACAATCATAGATTTAGCCACCACTTACAATACATACGTGTACAATGCACCCTTTAAAAACACCTCAAGGAACATCAGACTTCCATCACAAAAGGATTGGCCAACACTACATTGGCTCTCTACACCTCTGAACTAGACATCAATGTGGAATTTGGCAGTGCATGCTTCTTACATAGCTCTTCCAGGCAATCCTTTCTCAAACATCTTGAACAGATGATGGAAATATATAAGGCTACCCGCAATAACACCGCTATTAATTTTCATGACGTTGACTACTTCCCCACATCGTGGAAGTCTTTCTTTGAACTATAAATATTACTATTCTTTCCCTCCTCTTTCTCTCATCTTATGTCACCTCCCCTCTGCACATGTTTGGCAATTTCCATTGTTTCGGCAGCTGGGGATTAGTGTGCTTGATGATGCTCGTTCGACACGGGTGAAAACATTTGCATGTATTATAGAAAAAGTTGCTGGATTATAAGTTTTTAGAGTTTTTAATTCAAGTATACCCAGTTTGAGTGGTAGTATAATATTATAAAAGGTTTATCTGTTACAAAAGAATACTATGGGAACTGTCAACATATTTCATCTAAAATTGTTTTGAATTCCATTTTTTTTACAAACTTTCAGACAATTATTTATTACTGTCTACCTGTTTGAGCATTTACTAATGCACTTAAAGATAAAATTATTGGAGAAATTGCTAAAACTTAGTTAATATTAAACAAACTTCTTAATTTACCTTTAATTAATTCTCTTGAAATTGCATGTTTATGATTAAGTGTTCTGTGTTTATATAGAGTTATGCGTTTTGACAAAATCATAACCTATAAATTTTTTAGTTGCTCCCTTCTTACTTTAATTTACATATGCCTAGTTTTATCACTCAAAATCCCTTGTGTATCCTTCACTGTTGAGTCGAAATCATTGAAGAATTATTATTTCTTGATTATTGTAAATATAAGCAACAGTGCAAGAAAGCTTTTTATGTCATATAATTTAAATGTTTTATCAGCTTTTATTTTTCTAACTTTAAACTGATAATGGCTTAAGGAAAGCTAAACGTGTATTTTTTTTTTTAAGTAAGTAATTTTTGGTATCTAAAATAAGCAGTTATTGTCAATATGGTTCCAAGTTTCATTAATTTTAATGACTTGTGTAATTTTGAAAATATTTTTGTAGGATATGGGGTGAAAGCATTTATGCGATTAATCAGAGTGCTGGCTGTGAGAGGAGTAGTAGTCCCTAGCTGGCACCATGATTAACTGTGTAAGGTTATATCTAAATTTAAATACATCAGAAAGTGAAGGCTTGCTCAGGGTTAGGATGGCACAACTGGCAAGAGCACAGCATGGCAGGCAGAGGTTGTGAGTTCAAGCCCCAACCCAGGCCAGTTCTTTTCTTCCAGATGATTGTAAATTAATTAATAATTTATTAAAATTATAATTATTAATTTAATTAAGAAATGGTGCTAACATTTACCTGTAGTAGTAAATTACTTAGCATTAATCATTTAATTAACAGAGTTATAGCCTGATTATTTAAGGTGGATGTTTGGTTATGTTTCAATATATATATAATCAGGTTTTGCAATGTTTGATATACTTAAATTTTGTATTGTTTGTTGTTGTTGTTTTGGAGATTTTTTTTGAGACAAATAAATGAATTTTCTAAAATATTTACTTTTATAAATAATAATTATAAAAAATATATAAAATAAATTATTTTTTCTCATCATTAAGGTGTTTAAAAAAAGTGAAATATATTATTATTATTTAATTGTACAGTTCTGATGATGAGCTCCAGACTTTCATAAGAGAAGAATATGGTATTAAAAAAGAAAACAATATTCATGATTTTGAAAATGAAATGGAAGAGGAACTTAATAAACAAATAAAAAATGCTGAAGAAACAATTATGAATAAAAATTTGGAACAATCCAGTATAATTAATGATCATTCGGATGATAAAGTATTAGGTAAATATATTTATTTTACAATTGAAATGTAGCTGAATACTTAATTTCTCAAGAATAAATGATTTTTGTTATCTTTTACATAAATATACAAATTAAAATATTTTTATTTATGTAAAGAAAAAAATGTCATAAGAAAACAATTCAAATTTTTAATACAGAAGAATCTTGTTTTAATGGATTGCTTGGACTGCCGAAAATTATCCATCGTTTCAAGAATCTGTTATATTACAAACATCAGATTTCCCACACACCCAGTAAAATATCCTTTATTTGAAAATTTTCCATTTTTTAACCCCTAAACATAAGAAATACTAGTACTTGAAATTATTCAGTCTCTTGAAATCTCTCTATTCTTTATTCTATAGAAACATGTATGTTGGTAATGTACTGTACAGTACATGTATATTATGCCATGCATGTGTATGACAAAGCTGATGAAAACTGTACATACTGTAAGCATAAAAAGAGGGAAATTACATATGCTCATTAGCACTTTGCTTGACTTCACAATTTGTTTTAAAAAACTTGTCCATCTTGGCGTTCTTTCAATGCTGCTTTTCTGTCTATTGAATACAACACCACATGATATTAGCAATGTACAGTATAGTACAGCACAGCCTGTTTGTTTATGCTTAAACTTGTCAGGAAGGTCTTACAATTTGGAAATACTCAATGGCCTTGCTAAATTTCGGCACTACACTTGGACCAGCAACAATGTGTTCACTAGATGACTCCTCCTCAAGCCTATCAGCCAGCTAACTCTCTTTGAACAATTCTTCAATTGTACACTACATATCCCAAAATGTAACAAGTGCATCATCAAACTCTATGAATTTTCAGACACCCAAATATTAACTAAATGTTGAAAAAACGTGAAGTTTACAATAGGTTTGGGATAGAAAAAATTCTGTTATTCTGAGTAACAGATCTGCTAAAAGGAGGTAAAATTACATTGATTTGGCAGGACCAGGAAAAAAAATCCATTATTCTGAGAAATCTATTGTTCTGCGATCTGTTAAAATGAGATTCTACTGTACATTATTGCAAATTTAATTTTTTGTTTTATACTTTTTTTACTAAAGACAAAATTTGGTTGTTGAACCAAAATAATATATTTTATTATTATATATAAATTTTAAAACTAATAATTTTAATATATGTTTAAAAAGTTTTTAAATAAATGTTTTTATTGGTTATGCTTTTTGAGATTGAGGTGGGGGATGGTTGGGTGAGGACACCCCCACTATATACATTACTTTAGTGCATTTATACATACACATTGTGATTAAATATTACATTTCATTATGTTTATCAGGTTTCAGAGTGGAGGTGAGATCACCACCTAAAACATCATTAAAATGCATTGTCATCACACTTAGATGTCCTCAAATTTTCAATCTTCTATCTTAATTATAAGTGGATGTTTAGTTTCAAGATTTGAAAACATGATACAAAGCAAGTTAAATAAAATCATTTAAAAATGAAAGTTCATACATTGACAAATAAGTTCTAAAATAATGAAATAGGTTCCATGATAAAAAAACAGAACAGATGCTCAAAGATATTAGACAAAATAAAATATTTTTGCTGAAAACACACTATTTTCATATTTTTTTATTACAAATAATTTTGATGTTTGAATATTGTAATTCTAATCTATACTACTATATAAAGAGACAATGTATTTTTTGTTTGTTCCAACTAAGCACAAAAACTACTGAACCAATCGTTGCCAAATTTTAACTGTAGCATCTTTATGATCCCTGGAATGTTTACAACTAATCAAACATACAGATTTTTTATTAATTAAATAAAACTGCAATGGATTTCTGTCTATCTTTTGTCTCACTTCACTAGATGGCAACATGAATTAGTACTTCCTGTAAAGGCATTATCTCTAAGAAAAGTGTATTATTGAAGTTTACTATTATATTTGAAGAACTGATATTAAATTATAATTAGTTAATTAGCAAATCACAAATCACGAACACAATTACAAATTACAAATCATGAACACAATACGTAACAATTGCCACGTACTGCCATCTGGCATGACATCACAAAATCTTTGAGGCATTTTTAATACCTCAAAGATTTTATGATTTGTTAGGCCTAGCTGTATTTGCGTGAGTTTTATTTATTTGTGTGAGCGAAAATTATGTCTACTCAAAAACGACAAATCCTTGGCATAAGAAACTCCGAAGTGCTTTCATTTATGACACTCTTAGACTTGGGTTTATAGATAAAGTATGTGAGTATTGCAGTTTCTGAAGTGGAAGAATGAATCACAGGGGATTTGCTGCTTTTCTGGCAAAGTTAAACTGGATGTTGTACTTTCCTCAAACTTTTTCTATCACTATTAAATGGGACTCATCCTGACACTAAACATTTTTTAAAGACCAATAAGACTTTCCAAATGACAAGTTTTGGTGCCACTGAAATTCTTGAAAGAAATTTCATGCCATCATTCAAAATTGAAGGACAGGTATATCATTTAATAGCATGCCATTAATCTTGACAAATTACCCATTCGAATGTAAACGTCTACAATTTCCAGTCAATCTATGCTTTGCAATGACCATTAATAAGTCTCAAGGCCAAAACCCAAGAGTTGTGGGACTTGACCTGGGATGCAGTTGCTTTTCACATGGCTAACTCTATGTTGCGTGCTCACGTGTTAGTAGCTGCAAATCTGTTCATTTGTACTTCTGATGATAAAACTCAAAATGTTGTATATCGGGAAGTTATTCAATAAGTTTATCTAGAAAATATTTCACATCTTTAATAAGAATATGAATCTGTAACACAATTTTCTGCAGATATACTCTTTAGGTAAGTAAATATACTTTCACCAAATAAATAGATCCTGTCAACGATGGGTAACATAGCTAGTATACTATAATTTAAAAACTAATGAATAAATGCTATTTTATATGGTGAATACAGTATATTAATTTATATTATAGTAAATTTCAAATTTTCAATTATATTTAGATTATATAAAAATAATTATTAAATATTCAATAATAATAATAATTTAATTTCAACTTTTTGAGATAATGTTAACTAAAGATAAAATTTATTTTTTAAAATAAAAAAATTTCAATAATTAGGAAAAAATGGCAAATCTACATCACCATCAAATGATGACCTTCTTTATGATCCTAATATGGATGATGATGATCAAGTTTGGATAGATAATCAAAGAAGACTATATACATTTCCTAATTGTAATAATAATTGCAACCAAAAACCTTTGCCCAATAGTGATGCTGTTTTAAATTGTCCTGCTTGTCTTTCTTTACTTTGTCTTGATTGTCAGAGGTAATAAACTAATGATTTATGTTACTATATATATTAATTAAAATCTTAAATCATTATTAGATACTTAAAATATAAAACTGATTAATTTATTTTTGTAAATTTTTCCTTGATCTTTAAATAAATTAATGTATTTACTTGCGTATAAGACGATCTCGCATATAGGACAAGGTATGACTTTAAAGATCAAAATAAAGAAAATTAGATTTATTAATATAATTCTAATTTTATTTCGTTTAATTACAAATAAAATATCAAATGCACATAAATGCACACAATTGTCCCACAAAAATTACTGGCATTTTAAACATTAAGAAAAAATCTTATAAAATCAACAACATAATTTGTTCATTTAAACCTGGACAATTAAGAACTTTTTTTGACAATTCTTGACAGTCGAATCCACTCTCCGTTGATTACACTCGGACGGATCTACATAGGGATTAATAGGGCTTAAGCCCTGGGCCCCCAAGTATCAAGGGCCCACAAAAATTGAATTATCATCATAAATTTTCAATACTTTTTCATTAACAATGAGCACTTATCGTATAGTAAAAATTAGTTAATACTAATAATGATGATAATTTATAATATTATTTGTTTTATTGTAATCAGTGTAACGTAATTGGCAACGTCACCAAGTGGCAATTTTAAATCCACTGTCTCGAATTTGAATGCTATAAGGAGAGTAATAATAATGGCCAGTCTGCCTTATAAGGCAATGGCAATGCACCTCTTTGCAGGAAGAAAAAAGGAAAGAGAGAAAAAGCTAGAGAAAGGATAACACTAAGTAATTTTACTAAATTACTTAGTGTAAGGGGCAAAAAATGGGGGACTCCATTGGACTTCAATAAGCCCTAGATTCCGAAAAACATAGATCTGCTCCTCATTACACTTATGAGTTTCTCTGAATTCTGATTTCCAAATAATCATCTGTTTTCACATGGGAATGGATTAAAACTTATATTGGGCTCCCATGTGATTTTTGAATTCAATTCAAAAGCTTTGCTCTTTGCTTTTCCTATTTATATTCATCTTTACTCCTGACAATATACAGGAATGATTCAAATGACCCAGATAAAATACTTTTGTTTTTAAACACCAGAGGGTGAGCATCCAGTGAAAAATGTGAATACACTGTTCACAAAAATTATTGCAAAAATGCCAAAGACTCCTTCACTCGCGCATATAGCACGGCCTAGATTTTTGAAGCAGTGAAAAATGAATAAAAACCTCATTTTATATGCAAATAAATATGGTATTTTAGATAAATCATTTAAAATTAATAAATTAATTTTATTATTGTATTGTACTATTTTTAAATAGACAGTCATAATATTAAATATGAGTAAAATTGTTCTAACTATTTTAAGTATAAGTAATTTATAAGACAATAAATGTGAGTGAAATAATAATAGTCTAACATATAATAATCATCAATATATTTTACAGTTTTTCTGAAAGTTTCAAAAATAATTGTAAAATTATTTGACTTAGATAATTTTTTTTAACATATTTATCATGATAATCAAATTATGAAATTTATAAATAATAAATTGATAGTTGAAATATTACAATACTAGTTTTACTGAATGTTAACAAATAAATAGCAAATATGATTCTTAATACTGTATATTATTAACTCCATGACAGCAGGAACTAGATTTAGATAATGCTAATAGCAATATAATTACCCTCAACTAGACATAAACACCAATAAACCAGCAAAAAACAAAAGAAATAAAACAAAAACATACATTTTCTTTCATTTTAAACAGTCATCTTCAGATTTGAAAAAAAACAGATATAAATGAATGTATTTTTCAAAAAAATAGAACAGAAATTTAAAAGTTGTATATGTCACAAAATATGCACATGTCTAATGTGGCGTTTAACATCATGCTTCAAACTGGATAATACTTTAAGTAACCATTTAAAAAAAGAGAATTTTACAAAATATAAAATATATAACCCAATTTAAGACTTGTGGGTCATAGAATGCCCTCCACGTGGTTGCAAGAGAGTCCATTTCCTTATAATTGGCTGCCATATCCCTTTTAAAGGTCTTGAATATTTCTAATCATTCCAGGTGTTTCAGGTTTCCTGGGTCGTAACAATGGTGTAATAAACAAATGATATCAAATTTAACTTGAATGTCATTATCATTGGTGAATGTAGCTAGTGCAATTGTTTAGAGACCCTTCTGTATAGTATATTGATGCTCCTTGCAACTATATGGAGGTCATTCTATGACCTCCTATAAGTCTTGAATTAGGTTATGTATTTTATATTTTGTAAAATTTACTTCTTTTAAATGGTTACTTAATGTATTATTCTGTTTGAAGCACAATGTTAAATGCCACATCAGACATGCTTATTTCACGATGTATGCAACTTTTAATTTCTGTTGTTTTTAGAAAAACACATTTGTTTATATCTGTGTTCTTTGAACATGAGGATGATGTTTAAAATTGTAGAAAATATTTGTTTTTGTTTTATTTATTTTATTTTTGCTGGTTTATTGGGATTACATCTCATTGAGGGTAATTATATTAATTTATACCAGTAGTTTTGTAGAGATTGTGATAATAGCAATTAGCATAGGATCAATTATCTCAACTGCTGTAAAATGTTTCCTTCTCTATGAAGCAGCAGCCAAACTTCTAAAAACAATAAATCATATTTATTTTTACACTTAATTTACATAATTGGGATGGTTCTTCTAAATCTGCAATGAATTATGGGAGTGGCCAGTGAGTAGAGGAGTAAATTTCTCAATATTTCTGAGATGACTTCAATTACACTTTAGCAAAGTCAATACCCAAGCACTATACTAAACTATGGTCTTTGCTAATGCATGCTTTGGTCTTTAGTCTTTGCAAATGCAGATTGAAAGTAATTTAATATTTTAATGTTGGTATAAGATAGCCAGGGGCACACTGCCTATTGCAAAATTATGTTACTTGAGAAACTTAATCATAAAATCTCTGCATTTCTTTATATTGTCAGTTATCTTTTCATTTCTAGTTGGTTCGAAAAGTCACAGTAAGCAAAAAATTAACCTGGCAAATAAAACATGTTTTGTGAATGGATTGGCAATTGCTATAAAAGAGCCAGGCTGACCCCTGATAGCAGTCTAACTGCCTGCTTTTAGAAAAAATTATTTTATTACTAATTAATAATAGCCAAATTGTACTCTGAATAATCAAGAAATTACAGTATGATTATAATACAGTATTTGAGCTTAGTTATTTATGTTTATCTACAATGATTTGTTAACAGAATTGAAACAGTGAAAAATAATAATAATACTTTAATGCTTGAGATGACAACTTATAAACTGCATGCCAATAATTATCTTGTTTTCAGTGGCTGTGAAGCACAGAGTATATGACTGGAGAGTTATACAAAGATTTTACTTTTGTTCTTGCAGTTTTCTGCAGGGTACATGCCATTGTGGATTATATGCTGTCTTGGGTTATCTGTACAAAATTACAGTATTTAGTAAATATACATAAATAACTACTATCAAAATATATGTAGAAAGATTACAATAAACTTTTAAATCAAAAAATGCTAAGTACTAAAGTCGTCAATTAATTAAGTCTCTGAAGTTAGAAATAATGGCAGCACTTCTAAAATGGAAGTGCTATTGCTGAAGTGTGAAGTTAGACTTGTATATTGGTAGAATATAGATCACATGCCATAGATGAAACTTTGATCTGGTTGGCTAAGTGTGACATTTTCTGATGCTTATTCCTTTCAAGGATATAGCTACATGAGGTGGCAAGGGATGGCATTTCCCACCCTAATGCTCTCCACCCTCACTCTCTGCTAGCCCACTGCCAGTCTGCATGAGTTTAAAAGTAAACAGTATAAAAAAAAAGTCACAAGTTGTTGTGTTTGTTTTCTGTTTCATCCAACATCCATCAGATTCAAATCAGACTTAAGCTACAAGGTAAAGAAGAATAAAATATGAATTTGGAGAAAAAGTTTGAATTGAATTAGTTAATCTGAAGGCTGAAGAAATGTTGCTGGCCACGTGGAAATAGATCGTTATGCAAGGGAGAGAATTAAAAACTGGTAACAAAGGATGTTCTGAATTATAAAGACATGATACCAAAGATGGAGAAAGAAGAGAAACATGGGTTGGAGTTGAAAATAATTTTTAAAAATACAGCTAATAAGGGGGGTGTTATTTTAGACATCAGAGTTTATCTGCTTAGACATTTTGAGCTTACTAACATTTAGAACATGTTTGAGTTTTAGAATTAATGAAATTCTAAAGAATTTGAATTTTATGAATGAATCATGTTTTCCCTGATGATGACGGAAGCTTGAAAGTGTTTGGACTTACCTAGCCAACGGTATTTGAGTAAACTTTTTTACACGTGCTTGTAGTTTGTTGACATATCCATCCTCAATAGGTTCACACTCCGTATCATTGATGTATTTTTGCATTATTGAAATGTACGTTTTCTTCTTTAATAACACCAGAGCTTTGCTCTTAGCAGCCTTGAGAACTAGTACGTTATTATCTGTTAACCATTTTTGGACTTGTAAGTCTGCTTCCAAATTCGGTTGTCTTGTATGTAGTTCTTAGTATGTTGTATCTTGAATGCTGACTTCCATCTGAAATATTCTTTGTGCATTTCGTTCATCCCAGTGATCAGATTTTCTAAATCAGGCATCACTTTTTCAAGTCGTATGTAGGAATCACAAGGGGCAAACATGGGTCCATGTGATAGTGAGCAGATGAGAAAATCAGGAGGTGATATGTTGTCCCAGCATATCAAGGATGAGAGTTGTAGTACCATAGTATATTTCCAATGCATGTGGCATGTTTCACTTTCAAAAACAAATTTTACAGACAGAATAATAGTGTCCTAATGGGTTCTCTTTTGGTTGAAAACATTGCAGAAATTATAAATAAAAACATCCAACATGATAGTTATATATTAAAGCCAAACAATTGCCAGGTAGAGGCAGGCATTAGGTGCCTGCCTCTAGTGCCAAGTTACTTAGTATTTAATTAATAATAATAGTAGTAGTAAGATAGCATGATATAATTTGGCAATCATTTGGCTTTAATGTGCAGAAATTATAGTTAGGAAAGTAAAATTGGATATTGTTAAAGCTCAAGTAATAAAATTAAACTATAGAATCTATTTAGATTCTATAGAGATTTTAATAATGTAGATTGGCTTGTAAATGTATCTGATAGTCAAGGAGTCCTTGGAATTAATCTCCATCTAGTCCATTTTCTGTTGCTTTAATTGATCTCAAAATCATAAAAAGTGGGGATATATATGAAACAACAGCACAGGAAAGACTCCTTTGAATCATTTTACATTCAGTAAACCTTGAAGGATCATTACCCTTTTTTTTTAAAAAAAAGCAATATTTTTTCCTTAATTAATAAATCCTTGAGGATATGTTCAAATTGGCATTTTCTTGAAAAAAAAACTCTACATTATCTATAAAATTACAAGAAATACATTTATAACTAAATTCTGTTGAATTACTATTACTAAAACATTCAGAAAAAGGTGTATTTAACAACATAGAGGTCAATTTCCAACATGAAGAATTTCTTTGCATTTCTCTAGATATCCTCTTCCAAGATGTATAGAAAATTAATTTGAAATTAGTTCTTGAGAAAAATTTCATTGTTATAAACTCAGAAATTGTTAAGGAAAGCTTAGTCCCTTAATGCAAAAATAAAAATGTAACTGCTAAATCAGTTTGAATTTATAGAAGTGTGTGCCAAACAGATCACCTCTTCATCCTCTGGAAATGACTGATCTCTAAAAAGTTTGGACATTAATAAACTGACTGCATAAAGAATTGTTACTTTAGTCAATTTAATTTTATTTATCTACTATATTCATCCTGACAGTTGTATTGCACATTGCTATGACATAGAATTCTATAATTTTTATACTTTGTTGTACTTAATTTAATTGTATTGATATTTTTAAACATTATTATATAGAAATTCCTTGATAGCAAACTTTATCCATTCTTGATTTCCATGAGAGCATTACTGAAGATTGATGTGAATTCAAAAGCATTTGAACTAAACCTTTCTGTATGATCCTAATAGTTTGGGCTCTATTAAAGCAAATAGTGTGTTTTTATATCAATGGCTTATGTTATCAGAATTCCCAAATGCAACAGCAGTATTAACATTGTTTAATAATACAAGATGAGAGTTGATTAGTTGTCCTCAAAATCATTGTCCTCAAAGGCTGTTCTTCATTGGATCAAACAGGTGGAAGTCAGAGGGTACCAGATCTGGGCTGTACAGAGTATGGGGATCATTGACTGTGAAGAAGTGCTCACCTTAATGTTTTTAAAGAGGATTGCAGAATTGGGTTCAACAATGGTGCAAATGCATTGCTTATAATGGAGACTATGTTGATTAGTACCTTTGTATAGAGAAAAAGTTACTCTACCAACAAGTAGTTTCAATGAACCATTTCAGTAATTAAAGTTACAGCTACTTTTACATTAGTTTCAGTACAATTCTCATATAATTAAACATTAATTTGTGGTTTCTGTTTGTAAAATAATCACATTGGTACTATAATTATTTCTCTGTGTAGTTATCATTGTTATTGTAATAAATTAATAAACAACTTAAGTGAAATACTCTCAAGAAATTTTGTCATTTGTCTTACAAGAATGATTAAATTTCATTTGATCATTCTTGTAAGAAACAATTTTTCCTTTATTTAGAATTAAAATTATTTCAGAATTATATTGTTTGATTTTATAATTTTTTCAGAATTATTATTATTATTATTTGCAGGCATGAAATTTATAAATCTCAGTATCGTGCTATGTTTGTTAAAAACTGTAGTGTGGATACAAGTCAGAAATTATATTATCCTATCAAAGGAAAAAAGAAGACAGCTAATCAAAACATGCAAGATGAGTATTATTCTGTCAACTGTTCAATCTGTAAAACAGCTGTAGCTGTTTATGATAAAGATGAAGTGTATCATTTCTTTAATGTTATCAGCAGTTTTGCTTGATTGACTTAATGATCCAATCATTTGTATATTTTCCATGTATTGTAAACTGTAAATATGTAATTAAATGGAATAATTGAATTGTATATGAATCATAGATTGTAATAATTTTACAGGATGACTGATCATTAGCAGTGTTGCCAAGTCCAGGAAGAGTGAAACCCTAGAGGAGATTAAAAAATACCATAGAATTCCTCCAAACTTTTAAAAATTTCCCTAAAAACATCAGTTGCACAAAAATATTTATTTTAGTAAAGGATCTGACATGTTAAATTGTTGCAGAAAGTTTATATTCGTTTTAATCCATTACAAATTATCAAAAACAATAATTACATCATTGATTTTTCTTCGAAAGTATTGTTTTTTGACGAAATATGATCATACATGTTCTGATTAAATTTTTCTAGCATACATGTTGACTGAAAATTGACATAACTTATTTCATTCCTTATTAGATAATATCTTCTTGCTAGAATTGCTTGACACATATTAAAACACAATCTATTTCTCAATTTGTCTTTTACAATTGAATGCAGAGAAAAGGCTCTTTCCACAGATGCATTTGAAACAAACACAAACATGTCATTGCTAAGTCAACAATGTTTTGATTTCTCCGATTTCCTGCAGCATTAGTGTCCACTTTAATCCTAAAATCAGTTGTGTTACTTGTTCATCTGGGTTTTGTTTGATATGTTTTGCTATTCATTTTTTTTCTATTTTCTTTAAAATGAATGGTGATAACAAGTTTGCAATTGAAATGAGCAATTATTAATTGTGTCATTGTCACAATGCCAGGCTGAAATTTTTAATCATATTTTTTATTTATTTAATTTAAAATATATGCTCTCCACCTCAAATTAGTAGTGGCTTGACCCTGTACATCATCATACTTTTCCTTTAACAATAGAGTTGTGCCAGTTGTCTATCTAACACCTTTCAAGAGAAAATGTTTGAATTCAGATATATAGTTAATTGGTATCTCCTGCTCCTATGGTTTCCATATCTGGTCTTGTCTTTCATCTATCTAACTCCGTTCTTGAGATTAAGGAAAGACGGACGACAGTGGAAATTTATAGATTACAATTTTTTCAAATTGCTGCCCAACAATAATGGTTTCTGTTGTGACATTGCAATTGGTGGGTGAAGTAGTCCGGATTGTCCAGGAATTGTTAAGTATTCTGGCAAACATTGATTTGTTTGCGTAATTCTACAAGAAAATATTCTACAAGAAAAACCCATGTTAAATACAAATGCAGAGCATTTGTATTTAACATGGGTTCTATCAGATTCAGGTATTTGTTTGCTGACAAGAATAAATTCTTATTCTCATTCAACATGTATTAGGTGATCCTGAAAGTTCAGATTTATTAATTTGTCATCTTTAAGTTTCCTAAGAATAGTTAGCTGATCAACTTTGTAACATTGACTTGTAGAGAATTGGTAAATCATGATACAATTTTGGCAGGTCAGCATAGTCACATCTTTCAATATACCTCCTAAAAACACCATTTACTGTACAGTTTGAATGTATTGATCCTCATGATATTGTGTAACTGTTCATCTACAAAACATTTATCTTGCTCCTTTGTCAATATAAACAGCAATAATAGTTCAATCCATTGCTCTAAAATTGTTTAAATAGTTTCTTATTATGCAAGCCATCATGTTCCACTCAGCTTCAGGATTCGTTTGTGCTGCGAATTAGCATTCATGAATGAGTATAGGTTTTCATACTCATGCTTTCATATTGAGCTGCATGTAAACCAATTGTGAGCCTCATGCACTAGATACTCTAGTTGTTTTGGGAGGAACAGATATGCCTTTTCTGCACACAAATTAAGGGAATGCATTTAATTATAATTACATTTGGGACTTCTTTTTCCAGTATAGATGAAAATGAGTGGTAAACTCCAGTCATGACAGAGGCATTATCCACTTCAACTCCAATCAACTTATTCACATTTAAACTGTGAGGTAGCATAAATTCCTATATTCGAACTAGACTTTAATATTAATATTGTTTGAATTACGTAACAATTGTTGTTCATAGCTGCCTGAGAAAGTCTCCTGTTACATTTTCTCAAAGGCAACATTACACTTTCTCGTGATCTTTTAACCTCTAAACGGCCAATATCATCCGTGAATATCGCCACAGACAGCCAAAAAAAGTCAGTCATTGTCTGTCCTTCCATCAAAGGAAACCCGCACCGATTACTCCAGGAATATCGCCGACCAGTGCCCATTTGGATACTTTGTGCCATCATTGTGCTAGTGGATATTATATTGGAACTAATCACCATCGGAACTATTATCTAACAACGAGAGCTCCATCACCTTTTATCACCAGGTATTTATGCAACTTGCACTTGTTATATGAACTCTCTCTTCGCGACAAAACTTAGAACCTCTGTATCTTATCCAATTTATTTTTAATTAAATCCTTGTTAAGTGTTAATTGTAGTTCGAGTCTCTTCCACATGCTGTCTCTCGATCGGCTGACATTACAAATCCGTCTGACCACTTACGGGACCGCTCACATGACGGTGTGACATAGTAATTGCTGTCTTGGCTTCCATGTTCCGATAAACACAGTGGTGTCCATCCTGACAGGGCTCTAAAGAGGTGCCGACCTGAAAGGTCACAAAACCATTTTACATTAACTGTTTTTTAAATGCTGCATAAATGGAATTTACATCACATTTCATTAACTGAATTTGGCAGTAAAATGTAGTCAGTTTTTTTTGCTTGTTGCAGAAAACTACTTCAACATAACACAATACCTTTGTACGAATTGATTAATTGTTTATTACAGAAAAATACTATCACCCACATCATTAATTAACTCATCTAATACAGATTGCCAGATTAAATTCTTCAGTAGCATTGAACACTTAGTACAATGCAGCTTTATCTTCCTAAAAATTTGTCTTCTCATCAACTTTTGGCAATAATTCAGAAGGGCGATTGATGCTATGAGAGCTTCCATGTTCAGCTATATAACACTTAATTTTAACTCTGCAGTCTTTATAATTGAATTGACATAAACTGCTTTGCAAAAGGCAATTCCTGATACATATTTGCACATTTTTCAGCTGAAATCCTGTCTTCATACTATTACGATTTTGTATGCTGCATCAAACCTTTCTTGAGGCTTTGTAGAACTGTTTTATAGTATCAACAGAATGTTTTCTTTTTTTTCCAATCTCCAGTTGGATCAGTTGCTATCCAGCCTAATTATAATAAATTTTATATCTTATTCTCATTACGCACACAACTGAATGATAGTATACTTACATTTCAATTTCTCAATCTTTTTCCAAGATCTGTAGTATACTTGCACATACTTCTTGGAGGATGATATGGTATTAAGCATGTGTTAACCCAACTAGTCCCTCAAAACCAAAAATATACTTTAATTTAAACTCCTAATGACCATGATACCATGTGGCTCTTGTGACACAGCATATCCTTAAAAATTTATCAAAAATTTAATTTTTCATCAAATATGCTTGAAATATCATATTAATATATTATTAACAATATACACAGCATAGGTACATGCACATTAAAATTTTTGGAATCCTATTAGCAAGGATGAGATGAGGGTGGATTGAGTTTTTCCAGAATGAACTTGAACATTTGCAAATTCTTGTGCTCTTGCCCAAGTCAACTAGCATCATGAACACTTGAAGTCATGAATATGCTTTCGCAAAACATCAGAATACAATCAACGTCAAACAAATACTCAAATATGCAAAATAACACCAATACCTAAAAACCCCCAGATTTTTTTAAAATACCCTAGATTATCCCTAAAGCCTCAAAAAGTTCCTAAATCTAGGGGGAAAATTCCCTAACTTGGCAATGCTACTGATTAGGCTCTTGAAGGGTTGGGCCAATCTTTACATATAATGTTAGACAGAAAGCATCTTGATGAAAAATGATTTAGTTTTTTATAATATAAATTATTATTATGTTGGGTTTAGTGGGTTATACTCGGTACACACTAGTGGCTGTGTACTATGCTGGACCAGAGTCAAGGCATAGCAACCAAGAACAAAAATTAATTAAATGTGTCAGTGTCTGTATTCCGGAATTTCCTAACAATGTGGCATGTATTCGATATAGTGGCCTTCTGTAGTGTGATGCATGTATTTCTATTCAATTGTAATGTTCCCAGGCTTTTGTGTAGTGTGTGTGGTATCACACCTGTACAGGATAGAACGACAGGTACAATAAACACCCTTTCCATCCTCCATAGATGCCTTATTTCCTGGGCGAGTTCTGTGTACTTGCTAATTTTTTCAGTGCACGTGTTTTGTACATTGTGAGTGTTTGGAATGGCTATGACTATAATGTATATGATTTTATTGTGTTTGTCAATGACTGTGATATCTGGTCTGTTGTGGTAAATTGTTTTATCTGTAATTATGGCTCTGTCATAGTACATTTTGTACGTGTTGTTTTCCAATACTGTCTGTGGAATATACTTGTAGTATGGTTTGTGGATGTCTACCAATTTGTGTTTGTTTGCAAGCTCTTGGTGTATTATATTTGCTACTTGATTGTGTCTATGTAAGTAATCTGTTTGTGCCAAGAGCTTGCAACCAGAAGTGATGTGTTGTATAGTTTCTGGCATGATGTGACATCTTCTGCATGTGTCATTTGTGAGTGTTGTATCTTTGAGTATGTGTTTTCTGTAGTTTTTAGTATTTATGATCTGATCCTGTATGGCAATCATGAATCCTTCCGTCTCCCCAAAGAGGCATCCCCGATCTAACCAGCTGTTTGACGCAGTTTTGTCAACAAAATCCTGGGCCAGGTCATAAGGATGCCTGCCATGGAGTGCCTTTCGAGCCCACGATTGCTTGATGGTGTCTATGCTTTTTATGTGTTGTGTCATGTCTGTATGTTGTGAGTGTAAGTTTAATGGTGTGTTATTTGAGTCTGCTAGAGTTACTGCTTTATGTAACTGTGATGTTTCTTGTTTCTTGTAGAAAAACTCTCGCAGTGACTGTATTTGTTTGTAGTGAAGGTTAACTATGTCAATCAGGCCACGTCCGCCTTCTTTACGTGGAAGGGTTAATCTTTCTGTGGCGGATTTAGGATGATGTTGTTTATGCTTAGTAAGTGTTGTTCTTGTTTTCCTTTGGAGTTGCTCGAGATCTGTGTGAGTCCAATGTATAACTCCAAAAGAGTATGTGAGTACTGGGATGACATATGTGTTTATTGCTTTAACTGTGTGTTTTGCATTTAACTGTGTTCTGAGGATAGCGTTTAACCTACTTTGGTATTCTTTAATTAATCTTTGCTTTATTTGTGTATGTTCTGTTAGTTTGGCCTGTTGGAATCCTAAATACTTGTAGAACTCGCCGTCTTCCATGGATTCAATAACTTCTCCATTTCCAAGTGCAAAATCTTCTTTTCAGGATTCCTTTTTCTATGTGAAGTTTTTTGCATTTGTCTAAACCAAACTCCATTTGTATGTCCTTGGTGTATGAATGTGTGATTTGTAGGCATTGATGAAGTTGTTTCTGTGTGGATGCATAAAGTTTTATGTTGTCCATGTACATGAGATGTGACAGCGTAAACTGTGTTGTTTTTTCATGTCTGATATTGTAACCATAATGCGTGTTGTTTAACATGTTGGATAATGGATTCAGGGCTAGGCAGAACCAGAGAGGACTCGAGGACTCTCCTTGAAAAATTCCTCGCCTAATAAATATTTTGTTTGTTTGTATGGAAGTGTTACTAATCCTGAGATGTAGCGTTGTTCTCCAGTGCTGCATAGTGTTTTGAAAGAATG